ATGAAGTATTCTTGGAAAAGTAAATTTTAGTAGAAGATGACATGTGCCATAAGATAAAGCTTGGAAATGTTCTAAATTTACGAGAAAAGTCACAATTGTGAATAACTTCCATTTCATAATCGTAGTTGAAAAGTTTTCCTGGACCTAAGGATTTGTTAACATTATTTGAGATATTTTGGTATTTTATCTTGTTGTTACAAGTGAAGAATGATGTAGTCTTAGATGGGTTAAGTATTGGAATGGACATGTTTGGATTAAATAATGGAGCATTTTTGGAAAAGTAAATTTTGGAATAAGATGGCATGTGTCATAAGACAAAGCTTGGAAATGTTCTAAATTTACGAGAAAAGTCGCAACAATTGTGAATAACTTCCATTTGGTCATTCGTAGTTGAAAAGTTTTCATGGACCTCAGGATTTGTTAAGATTATTTGAGATATTTTGGTATTTTATCTTGTTGTTATAATTGAAGAATGATGTATTCTTAGATGGGTTAAGTATTGGAATGGACAAGTTAGGATTAATGAATGTAGCTTTGTTAGAAAAGTATATTTTGGAATAAGATGGCATGTGCCATAAGACAAAGCTTGGAAATGTTCTAAATTTACGAGAAAAGTCCAAACAATTGTGAATAACTTCGATTTGGTCATCTTAGTTGAAAAGTTTTCATGGACCTAAGGATTTGTTAACATTATTTGAGATATTTTAGTATTTTATCTCGTTGTTATATGTGAAGAATGAAGTATTCTTAGATGGGTTAAGTATTGGAATGGACAAGTTAGGATTAAAGAAAGAAGCATTCTTGGAAAAGTAAATTTTGGAATAAGATGGCATGTGCCATAAGACAAAGCTTGGAAATGTTCTAAATTCACGAGAAAAGTCGCAACAATTGTGAATAACTTCCATTTGGTTATCGTAGTTGAAAAGTTTTCATGGACTTGAGGATTTGTTAACATTATTTGAGATATTTTGGTATTTTATCTCGTGTTTGTAAGTGAAGAATGAAGTATTCTTAGATGGGGTTAAGTATTGGAATAGACTACTTAGGATTAAAGAATGAAGCATTCTTTGAAAAGTAAATTTTGGAATAAGAAGGCATGTGACATAAGACAAAGCTTGGAAATGTTCTAAATTTACATGAAAAATTGCAACAATTGTGAATAACTTCCATTTGGTCATGGTAGTTGAAAAGTTTGATTTGTTAACATTATTTGAGATATTTTGGTATTTTATCTCGTTGTTATAAGTGAAGAATGAAGTATTCTTAGACAAAAGGTGGATTGTATTGGCGAATGAGATGAAAGGGAGTAATGTTTTGGATTTGAAGAGTTCTATGGTTATGTATTTAATGAGGAAAAAAGATACATTGGATAAAGTAATATTGGATTAAGAATTTTGATGTAGCCACGAGTTCTTCTAAAGAGTTGATTTAAGAAGAAGATTGAAATATGTTCACTATTTGGATGTGGGAGGATGATTGAGCTCCTAAGGATTTAGTTTTTTGGGCATGTGAGGAAAATAGGTTGTAAAGACTACCAAAGTGGATGAATGATTAAGATCATGAAACAAAGATATTTTTATTATAATCATTAATATTTTTGTTTGCAGAATGAAATGAGAAGAAATAAGTCTAGGGATTTTGTTCTCAAAGAGGACAAATTCATACATCTATAAAGGAACGTGTGACGGATGATGAAAAGAGTGTCGAGAGAATTTTAAACCATGGAAGCACATAGAATAAGATAGAAGAGGGTGGATTGTATTGGTCAATAAGATGAAGCATGAACAATGTTTTGAATTTGTAGAGTTTTATGATTATGTTTTTTAGGAGGAAAAAAGATACTAATAATTGGATTAAATTGGAGTGTGAGATATTGATTGAGCTTTCAAGTTTTAAAATTTATTTTGGAAACTGGATCAATTAGCAAATGGAGGGATATATAAGATCATGGTACAAAGATACTTTAGTCATTTTGGGTTGAAGAGTGGAATGAGAAGATAAATTTGGTGATGGTGCACTAGAAGAGGAAAAAGATACATGGTTAGGATTGTATATTAGATATTGGAATGTGGATAGGTTAGGATATAAGAATGGAAGCATTCTTGGAAAAGTTGATTTTGAATTTAAATGAAATATGCTTGAAGAAGCTTGGAAATGAATCTAGATTTATGTGGAAGGTTAAAATAGTCATGAATCACTAACATTTGGCTGTGGTTGTTCAGGATTTGGTTTCGGACAAAAGGTTTGTTGAAATTATTGGAGACCGATTGGGTATACTTTTTCGTGTTTTTCCGTGTGGCGGAGAAATTCATACATTTATAATGAACAATTTATGGGTGATGAAAAGTTGTTTGTAGGAATTTCAAAATGTGGAAGGATCTAGAGAAGAGGTGGATTGGTATTGGTCAATAAGAGTGAGAAAGAGCAATGTTTTTAATTTGAAGGGTTTTATGGTTCTGTATCTAAAGAAGGAAGAAGCTATTATCATAGGATAAAGGAATGTTGGATTAAAGATTGAGGCGAGGCGACAAGTTTGAATTGGAGAATATGTTCATTATTTGAATGGGAGAGAATGATTGAGCTCCTCCTAAGTATTTAGATTGTGCCCATGAGGAAAATATGTTGAAAAGATTAGCGAAGTATGAATGATTAAGATCATGAGACAAAAATGTTTTATTATAATCATTAATATTTTGGTTGCTGAATGAAATGGGTAAGTGATTTTGTGCTGAAAGAGGAAAAATTCATACATCTAAAAGAACATGCGATGGGTGTTGGAAAGAGTGTTGAGAGTATTTTAAACAACGGGAGCACATAGATAAAAGGTGGATTGTATTGGTATTGAGCATGGAACTTTAGATTTGTAGAGTTTTATGATTTTGTAATTAAGGAGGGAAAAAGCGTTAAAGGCCATAAAACTTGAAAAGATCTTAAAGTTTTCAAGAGGATAAGAATTCTCACTATTTGGATGGGGGCGACGAAAGAAGGGGCCGACGACGAGGTGGCAGGAACGTATAGGGAGTTCAGCGACGCGTTCTGCAGCAACAGAGTCTACAGTGGGATCGTGGGGATAGGCGACAATGGTTATACCACGTGCCAAGAATGTTCCTTAATGGCCCGTCAAAGCTCATACGTGGGTGGGGCCCACCCGCATATATATAATTTGGTAAGAAACGATGAATATATCACGACAAAAGGCAAACAAGGCCAAGCTAGGGTCGGGGATGGGAAAGCCCCCTGCCCGGGATACTACAAGAACAAGGCCTTCCAATCGCTAATGATTATGAGAAGATTATAGTTACAAAATAATTTCTTGTAGTTTGAGCACAGCCAAAAAGGTTGTATGCCATAAAGGATTACAAAAATAATCCATTGAAGTCGATTTGTCCTAAAAAAGCTTTCGTTATGTTTTTTCCAAATGTGCCAAAGAGAAGCCCAGATCACACAATTCCACTAAATTCTAGCTTTTGTTGATGAGTGTCAAATCCAACAAATATTAATTCCTACTTAAAAAATATTTTAAGTTATAGTAGTAGCAAGGTCAAGAGAAATTATTGCATGGAGATAAGGACATGCAAGAGATAAGATAGAAATACGATGTTGATAAGGATCCAACCATAGGTATAGTTTTAGTTATATTCATTGATTTAAAGATTAGTTTTCTTATCCTATCCGAAATTGGTTATGGTTGTTGGGAAGTCCTAACAACTTATAATTCCTTAATTATTTGATAATCAAGGAATGTCCAATCCCTAGAGAAGCTCTTAGGATTTTAAATTATCAACAACATTAAAGGTGTAGTTTGTGTGCGGAATTACGTTAGCTATCTCTTGTTGCCTTCAACTCCTTCAAATTTTGGTGCATCTTGCTGATCCTGGGATCTCTCAAATATTTGCTTGCTTCTCATAATGTCATTTTGTTGATTAATGTTTCATGATGAATGTCATATGATTATGATATAGTGGAGTTTGCTAACAAAAATAAGCTTTCTTTCGTCAAGAGCAGGTAATCATTTCAATACTTCATTCTCTGTCTGATTTTGGAATATGACGTGATTGCTCTTTTGTCTTTCCTCTTTATTCCTGCATTTTGTTGTATGTGAATTTGTCATTTAGTAGTTGGAGAAGTGTTGTTTCATAAAGCACCGTATAGTAGCTAGTTTATTTAGAGGGTTTGAATTAACTTCCCAAGTGATTTTGGAGAGCCACAAGTATTTGGTAATAAATACAAATCACTTCTAATATAATCAAATTGGTTTATAATCATGATTTTGAACGGTTGCTGTAAAGTTGATTTTCCAAAAAGTGATTTTAAAGTGATAGACCGAGAATCACTTGGCATTTGTCGAATCACTTTGTAGTGCAACCAAACAAACTTGTAATTAAAAGTACTTTTGGGAACCACAAAACTCTAGAAAATGCAACATTTTGGTATAGTTTGTTTTTCATTGATATGTTAAAAGGAAGAGAGGGAAAGAGGACTAAAATAGCCAAATAAAGAACAAAACTCTAAAAAATGCAAGAGAATAAGACATTAAAGATCAGAACGCCTGAGAATTGAACAAACTTCATCCCACTCCCTTCAAGATGAAAAAAAATGGAAATGATAACGACTAAATAGGACACATGACCATAGAAGGAAGGAATGCCAAAGGTGAGAACAGTCAAACCAACAAAAACAGAAACAAAAAGCCTAAAAATCTGTTTGTTGAACTCCTTCCAAATGTGCCAAGGATAGCATGAACTACTGCGCAGCTCCACAAAATTCTAGTATTTCCATTTTGAACAGGGTGTTTTGTGACAATTTTGGGAAAAGAGAACAATTTATCTTTTTGTATATAATAGGTAGAAATTAGGATAACTAATAAGAGGGAGTAAAATTCTCTCCTAGACTTTCTTGAAAGCCAGGAGTCAACACACTTCGGAAGAAAAAAGTATTGAAATTAGATGGTATGTCAAACTCACCCCCTTTCTTGTGCATCTTTACCAAAATATTTTCAGGTTTGTGTGACAAAGACTGATGTTGCGGTACACTCTTGCTGATATAAACCGCATGGTTTACTCAAGGTTTGGTTAACCTCTAATCACTGCTTTATACCTAAATTACATATCTTATTATTATGAAAATTGCTACCAGAACCTTCATTGACGAGTTAATGACCCTTGGAGGCAGAGTAGTAGTTTGTGTACATAGGAACAAGTTTTCTATGTACTTGCCACAAAGTTGAATGGAAATTTTATGTTTTCTCCCTACCGTTAGATATAATTATTTTAACTATTCATGTTCTTGCAAAGAATAATTCCAAGGATATTGCTCTGCAACTTAAAATATTTGGTGGATTGTTTGTTATTCCTCATCCTGCTGATGCGTTCCATCCTATATGTTGAACATTACGACTGTTGAAGACTTTGAAACTTTAATGTCAAGTTTGACAACTCCCCTACTAAACAATGTCACGGAGTCGGTCTTGCCTTAAGTTTAGTACATAACTTTGAAGCAAGGATGGATGTTAATATTTTGTGTCTGAAATTTCAGGAAATTTTGCAAAAAAGTACTTATGGGTGGAGAAAATGGAATAAAAGAACAGGAGAAAAATAAACTAAAAACTGTGAAGCTTCTGAAACTTATCAGAGCGAATACCTCATTGACGAGCAGTGTGTTGTTAATCAGGTAAACTATATTAGGTTGTTTGTTATCATCATACTCTTGGTAAGTAAACTAACTAGTGTGTTGCAATCAAATTTTTAAATATGTCAAAATACTCCAATCATTCCTAATTTATGTACGCTGATGGTAACAATCTTATACCATGTTTATCTCTTTTATATGTCATTTCTCAAGGCAAAAGAATTTTTTGTAGTTTTACTTTTTCAGGTTGTAGCATCTGGCATATATGAAGGAATGCTCAAGCCAGGAGTTTGTGCCACGTCTCTACGTACAACAATGGTAATAATTTTTCTTGTCACTGTTATAATAATGCCAAGATTTTTTTTACACATTATTTTCTATATAATTGGTTTGAGCAACTCTGAAACACTTGGAGTGACATTTCAATTTAAGTGTTTTCCCTAACTAACTAAAATTTGTACTTTCTTTCGTCTAAAAGTAAAAAATAAACACCCACCTTTTTAGACTGCGAATTAAATTATATTTCTGCTGGATTTATTTATTTATTTATTTTTATTATTATATATATATACAGTTCTGAATTTATGTGCACATATTTCTGGTACATATGTGCGTCTGTATGTATATATGGGTGTTTACATTCAATATAAAATTATATCAATCTATTATGTTCATTAAAATGGCTAGCATTCTTTATAATTATTATTTTTTTACAACCAGGATAAAACGTATTTGAGTAAAAATATATGGTTTGATTTTTGTTTAAGAAGTCATTTTTATAATTTGTGTTTATATAATAAAATTACGTAGGTTAAGAATCTTATTTTAATTTTCTACCCTATTTAAATTTGTACTCGTTTTCCTAATTTGCCCCCAATATAGTTAATTCCCACAATCATTTGATGTTTTTTGTAATTTGAATTTAGTTTGTTTAAAATTTGTTTGTATTTATTTAAATGTCGAACTAGTTTGATTGTGTTTCCTCTGCATTAGGTTATTGCAATAATAATGTACAAATATTATTCGCAATTATTAAAAAAAAAATAATATATATATATATATATATATATATATTATTCGCAGTTCAATATTTTGAATGTGTTATCTTTTTTTTTTTCCTTTTAAATATATACTGTATTGCATGAATTAAAGGGCTTGTATTCTTTAATTTCTATATTATATAACTTTTATTCACTGGGATGTAGTGTTTCTGAGCAAATTTATTAAGATATTGATTTTTTATTAAATTTCTACTATTGCAATTAAATTCAATTTTTTTTTTTAATTTGAGTTGTGAATAGGTTTTTTTTTTCCTTCCGTATTTCATTCTTTGTTAATGTTGAATTTTTATTGCATTTTCAGATCGGTTCGTACTTTTTGTTGTATATGTATATGTTTTTGTTGGATTTATTTTATTTAATATTCATGTATCTCTGATTAAAGAATTTTTTATTAATTATAATGTAACTTTTAGAAGTTAATTATATTTCGTGTAAGATTTAAGAAGTCAAGCTTATTAACAATTATGTTTAAAATATACAATTTAGGACACGCTTTGCCATTTGGCAACTTGATTTTTTTTATTTTTTATTTTAATGATCTCTTATCTAAAAATAAAAGAATTATTAAGACTGTTTTTTTATTGAACGATTAAGACTAGTTAATAATAAACAATGGTTAATTAAAAGTAACAGATATTATTTAACTAAAAGTTATGAAGTAATTTTGAAATAAACGGGCCTAAAAAGTATAAAGTTGAAGAACAAGCTGATTTAACTTCCGACCCGTGATCAAGTCATTGCAGGTACAGTTTTTTGTTTTTCATTTTTAGTGCATTTTTTAAATTTTCTTTTAATCTCTTTTGTTTTTTGTTTTTTAATTTTTAGCACTTTTTTCTTTTTCGGTTTTTTTCGTGTTTTTTTTAGCGCATTTTTTTTTTATTTTCTTCTAATTTTTTTTAAAACTTTTAATATATTAGCATCCCATGTTAGCATTTTTTTTGTTTTCTTTTTATTTCTTCTTTCAAATATATTAGTCTCGGAATCTTCAGTTCGAGTCATAGTTTCTTGTTTTTCTTTTAAGTTTCTTTTTAATAATTTTTATTGTGACGTTGATTTAATTTCAAACCTATTTTGATTTTCAAAAATTGTGTTTTTAGAAAAATGTTTTCTTTATTTAAAATAAATAATCTTAAACTGAGCATCGGTCGGTCAAGTCAGTTTTTGGCTGACCCCGACGCGGAAAACCGACCTAGTCGGTTGATCAGTTTCCTATTATGGAAATCGACTTTGCTGTTACGCTAGTTTGCACTGACCGGTTTAGTCGGTTTTTTAACTTTTTTTTCTTTTTATTTGGTAGAGATGTTAGCGTCGGAGTCATGGTCGGAAATCTGGGCAAAATGAAATCGAAAAGAAACTCGGGAGACATGGACGGTAGATAGATTTCTGATGCGACTCAAAAGACAGGAGAGAAAAGTTGAAGAAGAAGAAGAAAACGAAGGAAGAAGAAAGATAAAAGAAGAATGAAGGACGAGAGTAGAGAAAATGGAATAAAAAGTAAAAAGATAAAAAAAAAACTACCTTTAATACTAGCGGCCATAATGGCGCCGTTGGTTTTCAATGCTACTGCAAGTTAATAACTTGCACGCATGCAGAGCATTAAATGTAGTCTGCTCTTTTTTTTTAGTAAATAAAATAAATGTTGGTCGGTTTCAGTTGGAAATGTGATTTTTTACCAAACCGACCGACAACCAATCGGTCTTCTAACCGACTCCGATCAAATTTTTCATCAAACCGACCGGTTCGGTCGGTTTTAGTCTGTCGGATCGGTTTTTCGGGATTATTTGCTCACCCTTATCTTAAACTTATATAAATGTCATACTTTTTTATCACTTTATTTAATAAAAAAAACCACAAAAACTCACTAATTTAATCAAAATCAAGTTTTAGTTTGATTAATACACAAAACCTAGTATTAAATAATACTGTCAAAACTTACAAATTTAAATTTTAAAAATATATTCTAATGTCGTTTTTTTCTTTTAAATCATATCAATTATTTCATACCAATTTTTTTTCGTTTGATACTATGAATATTTTTTTCAAAAAATTGTCAAATGAAAATCTATCAAATGGTAAAATTTTCAACACGTGAAAATAACATCATTTTTATAAGGTGCCATGGTAAGTTGAGTTTAAAATTGATATTTTTCCATTATTTTTATATGCACTTGTTCTCTCTCTAATGTAAAATCTTAGAACTGTTGATTTGTATGCACTATTATTCACAAGCTGATTTGCTATTTCTACAATATTTTATGATTGCGATGTTAAATTTAGATTTAGCTTAAATTATAAAGTATAAAATTTGAATGAAAAGAAGTGTTTTTTTAGGATGCTTGTGACCAATTAGTTCAACAAGACATGAATTTGTTAGAGCTCGATTGGTAATGTTTTTATTTCTTGTTTCTCATTTTATTATTTTTGTTAGAAAAATAGGCATGTGTGAAAAAATATATAGAACATGTTTGGTAATTATTAAGTTTTATATAAAAATCAACTTTTTTAAATAATTATTAAATATTTTTTATGTATATTTATTTTCAAATATTTATTATTGGGTCCCTTCAACTTCGTTGCGCCCGGAAAGTCCAATGCACAACCACCTAAGAAAGATGGGCTACTTTTCGTAATGTGGATATTATGGGGCCCAACATAGGCCCAATTTGAAAGCACATTCACGGAAATGGCCTTTTCTCAAAGTGGAGTCTGGGCGTGGGTCCTACTACTAATCCATATATCTTTTATTTTCATATTGGTTCCTCCATTTCGTTGTTAACGTTCTCGTTTTCCATTTCCTACTCGTAATTTTTTTAAAAAATGAAAGTTGGAGTTGACGGGACACTAAGAGAACTGCTGGAAGACCTTACTTTGTGGGAAGGAATTCAAGTTGGATTGATGAAGGGATTTTCTTATGAGTAAATTGTGTTTCAAGCACATTTATTGTCCTATTTGGTACTTATGATACACTGTCTCAATTGAACAATAAGTGTAATTATTAACACCAAATGAAGGCCATACAAGAATACTAGCCAAAAGTTGATCTTGAGCCATCACCAAAAGAAATATATCTTTTTTCATGTGAGCTAAGTTTAATCTTAAATGTTTTTTTTTTTGTCCAATGAGTGGATCTCCTCTTTTGCATACATCTCATATCTCGATCCGGTGGTAGGAATTTCTCGAACGAACAGCATTCAACTATTATTAAATTTGTGTGATTTGTTAGTTAGTAAATTATCAATATTTTAATCTAGTCACGTTTTTCCTACTGCGGTTCCTAGTCTAATACATATTATATAGTTCAGACTAAAAAAAATATAATGATAATAATAATAATAATAATAATAGTTGAAAAACTTTTCTTGTTTTGGCTTTTGATTATCAGTGTTATCCACGAAAGCTAATAACAAAGTTACATGAAACATTATTAGGTTGAAATGGTTGGAAGCCATCCAAATGAAAAACTAGAACAGAGCGAATTTGAAGTTTGAACTCAATTGCCATAATTCTTCTTCTTGTTCTTGTACGGACACAAATCTGTTTAAAAAAGATAAAAAAAAAAAACTCAAAAACACACAGAAAATTTCGTTCAGTTGCTGCCAATGCCATGAATCAGCTCTCTTTAATGGCATTGGCGGCGCCACCATTCTCCTGCCGCCGCCACCACCACCCCCTGACCATATATAAAACAACTCCCAAATCAACTTTCAAAAATTCCCTTCCTTCAACCTCATCTCCAAAATCATCCTTCTCTCTCTCTGTTCAAACCCATGAAAGACACCCTCAACTCTCGCTTCTCGAAGAGATTTGCAAGATCTGTGAAGCCGGTGATCTCACTGGAGCCCTCGAATTTCTTCAGAGAGACTGGAAGAAGAAGAACAATGCCGCTTCTGATTCAGTGCAGAGAAAGGAGGCAATGGGAGTGTTGTTACAGAAATGTGGACAGCTCAAAGATGTCGAAACGGGGCGCAAACTCGACGAAATGTTGTCCGCTTCCTCTCAATTCAGCGATGACTTTGTTCTCAATACCCGTCTCATTACTATGTACTCCATGTGTGGGTATCCTTCAGATTCTCGAACGGTCTTCGATCGTTTGCCGAGCAAGAATTTGTTTCAGTGGAATGCACTTGTTAGTGGGTACACCAGAAATAAGCTCTACGACGAGGCGATTCTCACTTTCATTGATTTGATATCGGTAACAGATTTTCAACCTGATAACTTTACATTACCTTGCTTGATTAAGGCCTGTACTGGGAAGTATGATATTTATTTGGGGCAATCGGTTCATGGGATGGCGGTGAAAATGGGTTTGATCATGGATTTGTTTGTGGGTAATGCAATGATTTCACTGTATGGCAAATGTGGGCTAGTAGATGAAGCCATCAAGGTGTTTGACAAAATGCCTGAACGAAACTTGATCTCTTGGAATTCGTTGATTTGTGGATTTTCTGAGAATGTATTTTGGGTGGAAGCTTATGGTGCCTTTCGGAGTCTTTTGGAGGGTGCCGATGGCTCGATACCGGATGGTGCCACAATGGTGACTCTGTTGCCTGTGTGTTCCAGAGAAGGAGATGTGGATATGGGAATGGCAGTTCATGGGATGGCAGTGAAACTAGGGCTTGTTCATGAACTAATGGTGTGCAATGCTCTGATTGACATGTACTCGAAATGCGGTTACTTTTCAGAAGCAGAGATTTTATTTTGTAAGACTGGGAACAAGAATGTAGTTTCTTGGAATTCCATGATTGGTGCATATTCTAGAGAAGGATACGTACACGAGACATTTCAACTGTTGAGGAAGATGTCGATGGGAGAAGAAAGGATGGAAGTAAATGAGGTCACCATTTTGAACTCGTTACCTGCTTGTTTGAAAGAAACAGAACTGCTGAGTTTGAGGGAACTTCATGGATATTCACTCAGACATTGGTTTCAATATGATGAATTGATAAATAACGCATTTATAGCGGCCTATGCGAAGTGTGGATCTTTGATTTCTGCTGAGAATGTCTTCTGTGGAATGAGTACTAAGTCGGTTAACTCTTGGAATGCACTCATAGGTGGATATGCTCAAAATGGTGATCCAAGAAAAGCTTTAGATTGTTATTTTCAGATGGCATGTTCGGGCTTCCTTCCCGAATATTTTAGCATCAGTAGCCTACTATTAGCTTGTGCTCGTTCAGGACATCTACAGTATGGCAAAGAGATACATGGATTTGTGCTAAGAAATGGGTTAGAGATGGATTCATTTGTTGCTATCTCATTACTATCACTTTATATCCATTGTTCTAAACCTTTCTATGCCAGGACTTACTTTGAGAGGATGGAAGATAGAAACTTAGTATGCTGGAACACGATGCTTTCTGGTTACTCACAAAACAAACTTCCTAACGAGACACTCTCTCTCTTTCGTCAGATGCTTTCTGAAGGACTCGAACCTACTGAGATTGCCATAGTGTGTATCCTTGGGGCTTGTTCACAGCTATCAAATCTGCATCTGGGAAAAGAAGTTCATTGCTTTGTCTTGAAAACCCATCTTATGGAAGACATTTTTGTTGCTTGTTCACTCATCGACATGTATGCCAAAAGCGGCTGTTTGGAACAATCTCAACGGGTTTTTAACGGGTTAAATGAGAAAGAAGTGGCTTCATGGAATGTCATGATCACAGGATTTGGTGTTCATGGACAAGGTAACGAGGCCATGGTGCTATTTGAGGAAATGCAAAGATCAGATACGAAGCCTGATAGGTTCACTTTTTTAGGAGTGCTGCAGGCATGTTGTCATGCTGGACTGGTTTCAGAGGGGCTACATTATCTTGCTCAAATGCAAAGTTTGTACAAAATAGAGCCAAAACTCGAGCACTATGCCTGTGTGGTCGACATGCTCGGTAGAGCGGGTCAATTAAATGAAGCTTTAAACCTGATACATGAGATGCCTAAAGAACCAGATGCTAAAATGTGGAGCTCACTGCTCAGTTCTTGTAAAACTTATGGTGATCTGGAAATGGGAGAGAAAATTGCTGAGAAGTTGTTAGAACTGGAAGAAAACAATGTCGACAACTATGTCTTACTCTCTAACTTGTATGCAACAGCAGGAAAATGGGATCGTGTGCGAACAGTTCGACAAAAGATGAAGGATCTCCGCCTTAAGAAAGACGCTGGATGCAGTTGGATTGAACATAGAGGTAAAATTCATAGCTTTATGGCGGGCGATGACTCGATACCGGATTCAGACGAGATTCGGGAGAGGTGGGATAGATTGGAGAAACAGATCATGGAAATTGGCTACAGACCTGATTCTAGTTATGTTCTTCATGAACTGGAAGAAGTGGAAAAGATTAAGATATTGAAGGGGCATAGTGAGAAGCTAGCAATTTCTTTTGGCTTCTTAAAGACTAAAGAAGGCACCACATTAAGGATTTGCAAGAATTTAAGAATTTGTAGAGACTGTCACAGTGCAGCAAAATTTATAAGTAAAGCTGCTAAAAGGGAGATTATTATTAGAGACAACAAGCGCTTTCATCACTTCAAAAACGGGTTTTGTTCATGCGGGGATTATTGGTAGGAAGCAAGGTTGGTTTTAAATGTAGACGTGGAGGTCTTAATTTTATGGAAATATCGATAAATATTGGTATCCATAGACCATAGATATTTCTGAAAAATTAAAAAATCGTAAAAAAAATTAAATTAATAAATAAACATCTTTCAATTTCTATTTCTAAATAAGTTAAAAATGATTAATAATATTATTTTATTAGTGGTATTTTATTTATATTTTTCATATTTTATCAATTTTTGGTATTAGAATGGAAATGTTAATTCACCAAGATGTGTTAGATGGAATATTTAATTAATATTGAAATTTGAGTCAAAACTAATTATTAGTATCTTAAATAAAATGAATTGCAAAATCAAATTTTTACCAATGGGTTCCTCAGTTATTGACAGGAAAATTATACCCGTTGGGAAGAGAATTAAAAAATATTATTTCTTTTTTCCAGGAAAAAACATTTATAAGGTTTGACGAAGAAAATTTGATAGTACTATTATTTTATTATTAATTCGAATCCCATTCCCATATTAAACATTGGATAAGGATTAGTATGCATTTTATCAATTCGTAGTTTATTCGTCTCTTAGCAGAGGCATGCCGTCGTCTGCATCAGCCCCGGCCTCTCCTCCGTCGGCGTCTCATTCTCAGAATTCTGCTACTCATTCTTCCCCTCCGAAACATTTGGTACGCTTCCGTCTCTCTCTCTCGTTTGCTTTCTTGTTCTTGTGTTGATTTTCTTTCTGGGCTTTCAATGACTTTGAAGGCCGATGCTGCAGCCACCAGTAATGACGGACTTCTTGATGCGGAGGAGAAGAAACCGGATTTGTCGGATCAATTCGAGTATGGCCTTTTCTTTCTCTTCCTCTACTGTGTTTAATTTGAAGTTTCCTTTGATTTTGAAGTTGGAATTTGTCATCTTAGCGGTTCTACTGCAGTTCCTTTCACTTTGCGATCTATGGATGATTTTCCTTCTTACTTATGTTCATATTTGATCGAGGAAATTTATAAATTACGGACGCTCTCGTCCTCTAGTTATCTCTTCGAATCGAATTGGACATGAGATTTCAGGTTGGAAAATTTTGAGTTGTACTCTGCTTTTTTTTTTTTTTATGATTTAATGAAGAAGACGAAATGGGTTCGCCATCGAGGAGCAATTTCAAGCTTCGAATTTATTTATCCAAAAATCAAAACTTTTAATCCATTATATGAAAAGGGAGATGTATTAAAAGGGAAAATGCAAACCCTAGTTCGTTGCTATCATTACCTTTAGTTTTTGCCAGAACTATTATTTTTGTCAACTATTACTGCAAATGGAACCTTAGAGATTTTTCTTTTTTTGTTTTTTTCAATTTGTAATGCTAGTTTTTGAGATGATAGCATGGGAAAATGAGATATATATTTGATTTACAAACTTCCCTCTTTTCCCAAAAAGAAATTGGATTTCATTTGAAGGGACAAAATAGAATACCCCAAAATATGGTGATTGGTTAGACAGGGAACTCTTTTAATAATTTTTTAAAAATTTTTTTTTATGAATTCAATTGTGTGAGGCATATTTGTTAAAATTCTGATAGGGAACTTCTGTTTTTTTTTTGAGGATTTGAACTCATAACAGTACTTGCTATCTAGCTTATTAACACTCTACTGAACTGAAATCATTGCTATTATCTTTCTAAACCTTAGAACTTAAGATATGAACAAGAACAACCTCTGGAAGTTGTTTAACCTTGTTCCCTCCTACTTTTTTTTTCCTTATTTTTTAAGTTCTGACTCTCATGAAAGTTAATTACATCCCCTTTGATTGAATGACTATTTTTATCTTTGTTAGCTCCCATATGGAGAATGCCTATTGTATTACTATCTGTTATTGATTCCAGAGTTCCTAGTTTAGTGAATATTTGTTCCAACAGGGTGGATGCTTTTCTTTTTTTTCAGTAACTGGGTATCGGTGCTCCTCTAATCTCTGGGGAGGCTTTGCCCACCCAAGGCCAACTCTGTGAACAATTATCTCTGTATATTTTTTTGTTTGCTTCCAATTATCCATATATTCAGCGCATGCCAGTAGTCTTCTTTGCACCCTTGACTACGAGAATTTATGATAGTGGCTCAACTCAGTGTCGTGCTATGTTCTTTATTCTTTTTCCAGAGACTTTGATGATTTTAATTCCACTGAGAAGTTCAAGAAATATGAAGCTGACTACGCTCAACGGCTAATGGCCAAATACTTTTCAAAGAAAAACCTATATGGAGGTAGGTGTAACTGGTATATATATATAACTTTCATTGCCTCTGCAATTTACAAAGTTGTCTGTAAATGATTGGTTACTCATTTATCAACTTAGTTTAATTTCTATTCCCCTCTCCTTTATTTTCCTGTTAACTATGCGATGCATAGTAGTTATTCAAGTCTAATAAATGGGCTGTGATCAGTTTAAAATATTAGTATTTTACAAATGTGTTGATTGAAAAAGATGTAGAGATCATGCCTTGTTTCTGATTACTTTTTTCAATATTTGTGACAAAAAAAGGTTGTTCCATTTCTGCATCTTATTCTTTTTCCATCCTATCCTTTCTTGTGCATATCCTCCAAACATATACAGGACTTGCAGCTTTATTTGAATCTAACAAAAATTTACCATATCTCATCAGATTCATCCATTCTATTCCCTTAGCCATTGAGAATCATTTGATTGCTTTCTGCAACCCAGAAGTAAATGGAACATCTCATGGAAATATCTACCATTCTTCTGCAGGAAACATCTTCGAAGAGAAAACAACAATAGACGATGAGATTATAAAGTCGAGCAAGTATAGTCGAACTGGCTCTTGTTCATCTTTGTTGATGTAATTTGTGATGATCGTGTGCTAAATCTTGACGAATCTATGTTATAGGTGGCCTTGTACGCGGTCGTATGCGGACCCTTTGCGGGGTTTTGAAGATCACCGGAGCAGCTGTTCAACATCGACCACGGACAACCATGCTACAATTTCAAATGGGAAGCATGCAGTGAAGAAGAATGGATGATGTTTCGGAATGAAAGAAAGATGAAACCTCCTCTCTCTCAAACGTTAGTTGGTTTGGGGGAAACGACATATGATATTCTGTAGCCCATTTAAATTATTTTATATCCTTTTTTTTTAACTAAAAACATAGTAATGTAGCAATTGCTTTCAATGGTAATATGTTTTTATAGATAGGTATCTTAATAAGTTAGAGTTATGTTCAGGTCGGTAGGTCGGCTGGTATCTCATACATTAGGGGCAGATTTAGATAAATATTAACGAATATCAGTAAAAAAAAAAAGTAATACCATTACAATTATTACTTATAAATTAGACCAATTTATAAGATTTTCTAACCAATTCAATTAATAAACGATTGGCTAAAACGAAACAAGATGATTTGATTTTATATACACGAAAATAATTCAAAGCAAATATTAAAAAGTAATCTCTCAAAAAATATCCTAATCAAGCCCTAATGGCTCTTCCTTTAATATTAGAGGTTGGAATATATTCAAAAGATTTGAATTTCCACCCCAATAAAATATTCTGATGATATATACAAAAAAACAATGGGAAAAAATAGAACCTCAATTCCATGTCTGGGATCAATCTTTAGGCAGTTCGTAGCGGCAAATTGGACATGTATTTTTAATTTCCAACCATGCCCTAATACATCCACCATGATACCTGTGGATACAGGGCAACTGTTTGGCTTCTTCTCCAATTTTCATCCATTCCATACAAATCGAACAAACCACATCTTCTTCTCTCAAAACCACCGACAGAAGGCTCTCGATCACTGTTCTTGATGCTGCAGTTCGAATTGTGAGACTCCATTCGCCATTAGATACTATTTGTACTTCTGGATAATTGTTTGAGGACAAAAACTCTTCCAAAATGTTCGAGTCGGCGTCGTGAATCGTACTTGGCGGAGTGGAATTTGGACGCTCGTGTTCTAGTAAGGCAATCAATCTTTCGAAATCCGAATCCAATTGTTGTATGGAAAAACCAGCATCCTCGATCGCTAAATTAGAACTGGTAAATTCTTCCCATGCTGAAAGAGAAGACTGCTCGGCTTGGCGTTGAAGAATATCCCTGGCCAAGTTCAATTGGATTCCATGGCCGCCGGAACGGAAGTTGACGCCGGAGATAAGGGCGTGGAATAGAGAAGAATGCGATTCGTCGGTAGATCGAGGATAGACCTGCCGGTCGCCGGTGCGAGAATGAAGGTGTGCCATGGCCGGAGAATGAAGTCTTTCTGGTTATCAGGTGAGTTCTTGCTTTTGATATATCTGTACAACATTTTGATGGCTATTTATATTAAATTTCTCAATTGATTTCATTCCTAATCCTTTTTTAATTTAGTTTTTCTTTTTGAATCAAAATAAATTTTATTATATATATATATATATATATATATATATTTTGATTCAATCTTTAGTTTAAAAGATAATTAGATATCTATTAAGATATTTCTAAAAATAAAAATAAAAAAGAAATCTATAATATTTTTATATTAAAAAAAAAAGAGGATATTGAAAAAACTTTTTTGAACCATTATGTTTTGCTTATTAATTTTTAAATTACTTTTGTTGAGTAAAACATGTGGTTGTGGGGAAATTAATTTTTAAATTACTAGGTCTTATTTTTATTAATTTTGATTAATAAAAAAGTGAAACTGAAGAATATGAAAAGTTTGGATATAAAAAATTATATTTATTTATTTCTAACCATTTATGATTTTATTTTAATTTGAATTAATTGAATCTCAAAAGTTTTTCAACTTATATATCCTTCTGTGTATATATAAAAAGTTCTCTTTCTTTGTTTTCTTCTATTCATTTCTTGATTTGTTTTTTAAAATTTTATAGATATAGATTTAGTAGTATTATATTGCACAATAGCCTAGTATATGAGTGTTTCAGATTTACAAGTGTTGCAAGATAATGTTGTTTATAAATAGAGATCATTGAATCATACCATGCAATTTGATCTCAAATATCAATCAAAGGTGGACAATCTTTGAAAAGTTAGATATTGAATTCCTCCCATAAATGTTATAAATTATTTTATAATTAGTATTGTTATTATTTTCGATTTAAAAATTTTGAAATCTAATTGTTACTAAGTTTTTAAATTTATTTATGTAATATAGATTCATCAATTTTCACTCCTATTTATCAAAAAAAAAGTTTTGTTTAAAAAAATAGTATATTTTTAGCAACTGTTCAATTAAAAGTAGCTAAGAAATGATATTTTAATATGCATATGAATATTTTGTTTAGAAATATTATATGTATTGATTTAGAAATCTGTTAAATTAAAACTAAAGTATATTTTCATGGTTAATTATAAATTTATTATAATTCATTAAAATTAATATGAAGTGGGAAAATATTTGGCTCCTTAGAACAACTTACTCCTTATCACTATTAAATATTTGACAACTTATTATAAAAAAAAATAACAATAATAATAAAATTTTTTGTTTTTATCCCTTAGTTGTTAAATATTTAATGGTTGTTTAAATTACGCATAAGTACTAGGTGGTAATTGCTACACTTTTTTAATGTGGGGAAATATTATAGCGTTACCTGCTTTTTATACTTTTTTATACTTTCTTAAATTCCTTTTGATGAAACGTTTCCATTGTTACCCTAAATTTTTAGGCTTTGACAATTATTCATCATTACTTTTAAACTTAAATAAGTTTTATAAATTCCTATTTCCATTTGAGTGTTTAAAAAATGTTCATGAATCATATTCTCCCATTGAAAGAATTTAAAACAAATTCAAGAAGAACAATTATTTTCTCCTTAAAATAGAGGTTGGAGATTCAAATCTCGGTAATTGTTTAGCCCAAACAAGTTACCGATTCCCTCCCAGGCTGATTGAACTCAAAAAATAATAATTAATTAAAAAAAAAAGAAAATAGACGTAATAACCGTATGCGACTGTATAAGAAAGAAAATTTGAAATCTGTATAATCAACATTGTGTAGGCAATTCATGGCGGCAAAGAGGGCAAGTATCTGTAATCTCCAACCATGGCCTTGTACACTCACCATGAAATCCATGGCCACACGGTAACTGCTTCGCTTCTTCACCAACTCTGATCCGATCCATACAGATCGAACACAATGCATCTTCTTCACTCAGATTCAGAACCACCGACGGAAGATTCTGAACCACTGTTCTTGATGCAGGATTTCTCCTAATCGTTTCGCTTCCAACTCTAAATCCAGCCTCATCTTGATCACCGTTCAACACAACATCCAGCGTATTTTGATTTAAATCGTTGATCCCCAGCAGATACGATTCCAATCCGCTGTCCATAACCAGATCGCCATTTGCCTCCTCGATCGCAAAACTAGAACTACTCTGTGCTTCCGATTCCAAACGATTGCTCCAACTACTACCCCGAGCCGCCTCGATTCCTTGTCCGGAGAGATCCATGGCGATCGAAGTGAAATTGCTTCGGGTTGAATGTTGATCGTCGGGCCAGAGATTTGTAGACTGAAGTCCGATTGAACCCTTGAATCGTTCAGCTCTTCAGGTTTTATCAAAATATATCTCAATCTCTTTCTCATAGTTTCAAGTTTAAATTTGCTTTTGAATCTTTTTTGTTTTTTTCGTCATCTATCTCTTTAATGTTTTTCCATCTCTCATTCTATCTAAAATTTTTAAATTATATATGTATTTTGGATTTGTCTGTTATTTAATTTTGAAATTTCGCTAAGATTCCAAAAGTTTTGAAAGTTAACTGAAATAGCTAAAGGGCCGATTTGAATCTAATAAAATTAAAACAAAATCTTTTTTCTATTAAACTGAATAACAAGGAAATCTTTTTCTATGTTTGAATATGAAGGCTGCTTGATTTGAGACTAATACATTATAAGAACTTCTATCAAAAAAAAAAAAGAAAAAAAAAACATTATTAGAACTAGTAGAACTTGTTGATAATGCTTTCAGTTTCAACCATGACAAACAAAAGATAAATGGTTTAAAATAGTCTCTCTAAAATATTTGTGTCTGTGCCATTTAAAACACTTGAAAAAAATAATAATAATAATAATAATAATAATAATTGATTGTGAATAAAGACATTATCAACTTCAACATGATTTTTAGTCTAACAACTGAGATTTTATACATAGTTTCAAACCAAAATCTCCATCGAGAAAACCTTCTTCAAAACTACATAAAGTAGCTCAATTAGGTATAGCATATATTTTCAACTAAGTTCAAATCTTCATCCTATGTTGAACTCAAAAAATAAAAATAATTAAATAAGTAGTTATCTAAAATGAATAATTATAATACATTATACCAACGTAGTCTAAAATAAAGCGGAGAAAAAACACATTCATAAATCATAACATAACAATTGATGAAGGTTTGGCCCCTTTATGCTATAATAGAACTGTACATTATAATTGCTTGAAAATAAGAAACTTGCAGGCCTAACACATTGGTAATTACATCATGATCCATTTCTTAACTTCTACTGCCTCATAATTTACAATAAAATAATCTTCCTCCAGATTATAAACAATGGAAGTATCAGAAAGCAAGAATGTAAGATTTAAGATCAACCAGCTGCTGAATGAACAATACAGCCCCATCTGATGTACTACTTTCTTATGATATGATTGTGAAAGATGTTTTGGTTAGACAAACAGCTTACTTGACAGACGACTTCAAGAACGGATTAGCGGGGCGATTACATTGAACTTGATGCACATCTCCTGCCTTAACCTTCTGAATACTGGATAAGTTGAAATGCTGATTATTACTCAATGTTGCTGCTTTCTTCACATCTACAACCATATTTGTGTCGCCACTGTTTTCTGTTCCTTTGGAGTTCTGCATTTTTGATGTCTCGTTGACTGCTGAAGTTTGCTTTTCTTCTGTTTTTGCAGCATTGGGTTTTGCTCCTTCAGACTTGAGTTTCTTTATAAACAAAGGTGCAGAGAGTATTGGAGCTTTAGGTGAGGATGGACAAGTAACTTCTGAACTTTTGGCTTTTATTGCAGAATTAACTGTGCTACTGGTTGTACCATTAGGTATGACAGATCCATTGAAGTTGGTTCTTGAAAGGGTGGTTTCCACAGTCCCTTTAGCTTCATTAAGCAACCTTTCCTGACATTAGAAAAAGAATAGGTTAAAAATCACTCTTGATTTCTATACTTTCATTGTAATAACAATTTAAACTCTATACTTTCAAATTTGTAATAATTTAGTCTCTGAACTTTAATATGTGACAATATAGTCTTTGTAGTTTAAAATTTTGTAACAATTTAGTCTCTATTTTAAAAAATATCTTAGATTTAATGATATAGACGAGGGGACCAAATACTTTTATAAACTACAAAACCCTCATGGTTAACATTGAAACAGCAGTTGAGCTGCTAGAAGTTTGTCCTACCTCTAGTATGGCATTGAAACGTTCCGCCAAGTTAGGAAGCTTCAAGGCAGTAACCAGCTTAATTGCACCCTTAACCGATTTCTCCAACGATAAAAGTTTCACAAGTTCAGTAGCCCTGACAAGCTTATCACCTGAAAAATATCAAAATGGCTAGTTTAGATGAAATCCCAGATCGTTAGCTTTAGTCCCTTGTCAAAGGCAAAAGCCCTGAAGCAAGGTGCAATGCAAACTGTCTAGAATGTTCTAGTAAGTTGCAATTTGCAAATCCGAACCATTGCAGCAGGAAGCAATGAGCCTTAAGATGCATCTGTCTTGAGCAGCTTCTATACTGAATGCCTCATCATCCAGTTCCGTGGTGTCAAATCCAAGCAATGCCATTTCCTCCATTCTGCTATTGATCTGTGAGCATACATTTAAATTACTTAGACAGTGAAAGCAAATGAAAGGAAAAACATATTAGAAAGAAAGCCAAAGAAGGATGTCTATTAGCCAGATTAGTTTCAATTGCTGAGATGTCTATTATTAGTGACAATCTTCATAGCCATAGAGAGAGCTAAGAGCTACAAAATTGGAAGATTGAGAAATGAGAAGTGGAGAACTGACCTGAGTGAGATGCATATTATTCGTCATAAACTCATTCTCGAGAGCTTCTGCGCCCAGATCAGATAGTGCAAGAGGAAATGAAAGATTTAGCAGAGTAAGAATTGGTTTAGGTGTCACCTGAAACAGACAGAAATTAAACTCAACGATAGCTACAATGTAAATGAGTTTCAGACAGAAGAAATCATCTGGGTTACCTGTGGGTATGAGTCAGGATTTTTGCATATCACACAGAACAACTTGTTTGCGTTCAACCCAACCACCCAATAATTTTCATCCGATTTCTTCTCCTTACTGGCACTGCATAAAAAATCTTGATTAGAGATGGTGCTACAGAAAGGTAGGATGTGATTTTTGCTTTTAACAAATATATAAAGAAAATTTTAGGCCTGTTGATCAACCTGAATAATGGGAGCCAACTGCCACCATATTGACTTGTGAACACTCTGAGTACACCCTATAAGTAATGGTTAAGAAAATAAGATCCATATAGTTAAGCAATAACCTATCTGAATTCTATCAACAACATACTTGAGAGCAGAGCTAACCTTAGAATCGTAGGAACTCAATTTTCCTTCTTCACTAAATCCAAACCATGCGAGATGTGAGCCTGGAGTTAACGGCAGACATCCTCTTAAGGACTGTGTTCCATTAGAGATGTTTAATATTCTGAACTCGAGCATCTGCGTTATTCAAAATGGAGTTCCCATTAGGTGAATCGTACCTTCGAGATTATAAACTCCAACTTCATAAACTTTTGCTAAGTATAGCTGTACTACTCAGATGATGAATGATGCAAAAAATATGTTCACGCAAACCAACAACTATCCGAATGCAAATCAGACATGCTAAGCATTGATTCCATGAATCAATCGTGCTCAAAATAGAGGTATGATCGAGTATAAACCTGGTCGTTTGAGGGTAGACAGGTTGAAGAATGAGTCACAAATGCAAGTTCATCCTTGAAGCCAGATGCAGTCACCACTGGCCCATCAAGGCAAAGAATATGTTTCTGCAATGTAGCCATTCAGAAAAGTCATTATGTGAAAGATCAAGTTTACCATCATTCTCATTCCTTAATTCGGTTATACACTTTTGTTCGATAATATTTGGGAAGAAAATCAATGGTTTTGATGAGATCTAATTTTCTTTATTACTCATAGTCAAGGAAACAATTGATATTTAATTCAAGTTCCAAGCTTCTCAAAGTTTAACAAACAAATACACATCCCTGTCATTGTCAACATAATTGTTTGCTGCAATCTAAATCATCTCTTCTGCTTTTGTGTAATGTAGCTTCTTGATAAAGTAATTTGCTTACAAAATTACTAGAATAAAGTTTGCTGACATGTGAAACACTAAAATCTATGTATTGAGATTTATAGTGAAAACATGTGCACGCTTTGTGAATGTGGAACTATTAAATTATGAGTTTGCAAAGTACAAAAGACATAGGCAGATAATGACGCTTAAACCCTAAAAATGTTCCTAAGACAGCAATTAAAACTAAGTATTTAATGAAATCTGCATTGTCAGACCTGTAAACCACCCTCTGTGAAGATGCGAAGATAATTAAGACTTGTAAATGCAGCCACCCATCTGGAACCAACTGCCACAGCCTTAACTTCTTCTCCATCAAATCTCATAGACCACTGAGTTTTTACAGCATATATCCAAGTCAGCATAGTTTTGTAGTCATAGCATAGGCATAGGAATATAAGGTTACATAAATTGCATCATTAGTATGAAGCAGAGACACTTGTAAACCATAAGTGAAAACACACTAACCTCACTGTTATTTGCCCAGCTACCAAACGGGCGATACATTATAGTGCTCATATTCTTCTCACCCTTGCAAGGGTTAGCAAAGACACTGCCATTTCCATTCAGTGCAGCCATCGTAAAACCAAAATGATCATTCATTGAAGGAACTCGTGGGCCACTCCCAGTGTCATGAAAATCTATCTGAAAAGGGATGGCACCAGTAATTTAGAATATAGATAGAGGTTGTGAAAATAAAAGCAAGTGACAATATGGCAGAAACCTAAAAGGTTTAATCTGAAGGCATAGGATTACCTCTATGTGGGAGTACCCATCATGTTCAAAAGTTGTTATACTTCCAAGCATATTGTAACACAAAAAGCGCTTCTTTCCTGGCTGCAAGGGAGTTGCTCCTGGTTGAAAAGCCTCCTGTAGTTTCACTCTACTAGACGTTGCAATGCTCACAGCTCCCCCATCAATATTATCTGGCTTTCCCCTTTTAACTCGATGCGACATATTGCACGACTCCAACTTTGGGAACAAGCTAAATTCTTCGCTATCAGCCTCCTCATCCAGGACTTCTTCATGCGTTGAATGTTTACGCAATCTTTTTCGAGTTGGAAATTCAGATTCATAATGGCTATCTTCTCCCAGGTCACTCAAGTTGCCTGGTGCACTAGGTTCCTCATCCTCTTCATCAAACAAGAGTAAGCCATTGCTATTTCTTGATTGCAGTTTTGGGATATCTTCAGTTGGAGGTTTCATTGAAGATGGAACAACTGATTCCCACACCCCATATTTACCCATGACATCAATAACAGCCAGAGCATTGCCAATTGGTTTCCATGACATGCAACATATCCTTTCATCAAATTTCTGCCTATCAATATCCTGCTTCTGATCAACATCCCATATCAGAATTTGCCTGTCCAAGGAAGAAGTAGCCATGTATTTGCCATTTGGTGACCATGACAGGAAACAAACAGGTTGAGTGTGATCTCCCCTCAATGAAAACAACTTTTCAGCGGTATCTCGATCATACATCACAACATCATTTCTTAAACCTGGAACCGCTAACATCTCTCCATCAGGGCTCCAGCTTAGAACATTCATGACAGAAGGATCCGTACCAGTGTGAGGAGCTATGCCTTTAAGGTTATGTATTATACTTCCAGATTGGAGTTCCCAGAAAATTACAGTTCCAACTGAATCCACCGATGCCATGTATTCACTGTTGGGGTCAAACGCCAACCCAGTAACGGATCCTTTATGTCCTTTCAAAACTCTTGCAATTGAACCATCCACCGTGTTAATCAGCTTAATGCCATCATCATCTCCCGCAGCTGCTAAGAGGCTTCCGGATTTATTAAACGCAAGGATGCGTATTGGCAGCGTGAATCTGGTGATATTCGTCTCAAATTCTCCACCTGCAAACCATTGACCTTGTAATATTAATGGGAAGAGAATTTACATAGAACCACAAAGTTAGAAAGACTCATCCCTAAATGGGGCGTCCAGTGAGATTTCGATAAATCTGATCATTATTGTTCATATTTCAAAATTAATTGAAGCAGCTCATAGTAACACTGACATCGTCAACGCCAGAACACGGCGATGAAATTCAGAGATTCGAAACCAGAGAGCAATTGGAAAATCAAAAGAACCATAATGTAGTTCGCGATCAAGCGAAGGCCAGAAATGGAAAAGTACCGGGAAACTTGTAGAGCTTGACGGATCGATCCATGGATCCAGAAGCGAGGCAGGTGGAATTGGGGCTAAGAGCGAGCGCCGTGACACCTTCGCGGTGATGATGAATGATCTTCGGAGTACTGGAAGGAAGAAGAGAATCGTGGATGGATATGGCGGATTCGGAAGACGAAGCAGTGACAATATGGTAGGCTTGTTGATCCCAGAGGACGGAGCAGAACGAAGGTTTGCCATTGCTGGCGGCCCTGTGGGCTTCTCGGAGCTTCACCGACCGGATCTTCATCGCAGCTCCGGTAAGTTCCTTTCAGTTAACAGACGGAGGATCTTGTGGCTGTTCTTCTAGTTTCGCCGGAGCAACGAGTGGCGAAAGTGAATGTTTCTTGGTTGTGGGATTTCTGTTTCTATCTCTTTTTTTTTTTGGGCGGGAAATTTGAGGGACATTTCAGATTTCGCGGGAGATGACCGCGACGATTTATTAGGTTTGATTTGATACCGTCCGATGGAATGGGCTTTCTCTCGCTTTGCCGTGCCTCGTAGGCTCTCAAAACAACGAGGCCCATTTCACCACCGATGGCCCAATATGCGTTTCGGGCCGAGTATATTTACATCAATCTTCGCCTATTTTTGTATAAAATAGCGAATTAAGATTAAAAGAATTAGTTTTTTTTATTACAAATTTGATTTTCAGGGTTTCAATTTAGTTCGAGTTGCTTGAATTTTGTTTCATGTAATCTTAAAATTTTTAATTTAGTTCTTATAATTTAATCGAATCGCTACGTAGTAATGAGGTGATATTTTTTATTTAGTTATTTGAGTTAGTTGATTGTATTATGATTTAAAATAAGTAAATAATGGAAGGGAATTGGTGAGTTTTTGTGCTGTGTGAGATATAATTTAAATAATTTATGAGGTTCAACTCAACATAAGAACTCATTTGAATTTTTTAAAATAGGAGATATTCTTGTCTTATGCTTTTTTAACATTTTCAAATTAACTCGAAAAGATAGTTTTCTTTGTCATTATCCACTTAAGAAAATATATATTATATTTTAATTAATGTACAATTCAACTCATTAAAGATATATCATTTATTAAAATATTAGAGATTCGAATCTCTTATTTGAATTCAATACATATACACTATTTTTATGAGTACAATGTATATATACTTTTTTTTAATTTCATAGTTTTTTTTTTCACTTCAATTTCATAGTTATACCCTGCTATCTCTTTAGTTTTGGTTAAATAACATAATTAGACCAGAGCTTGAATTTAGTCCCCATAATTTTAAAATATTCAATTTAGTTTCTATGGTTCGAACTTATTTTGAATTTGATCCAATTTCAAAAGTTTAAATTCGGCTCTTATGGTTTAGTCAAACTTCACATATTTTGATATATCTTTTTGTTTACGTATGAGTCTTCTATTTGGGTAGCAAAGTTACTTGAGTGTATTAGATTTCAGGACTTAGTAAAAATAATAATAATAAAAGAAAGAAAATTAGGTGATTTTTCAAGCGGATAAAATAAAATAGAGGGTCAAACTTATGAAATTTAACTAAACCATAGAGACTAAGTCAAAACTACGCTTAACCAGGTATCAAATCGAAATTTAGGAAATCATAACAACTATTTTCTATTTTTTTTAATTTAAAAAAGAAATCATAAGAACTAAATTGAAAATTTAAAACTATTTGAAGGAAATTTATAATTTAAGCATAAATTTCATACCAATTCTATCTATCTCACATCATGTTTCTTTTTTTTTTGCTAATGGCACCATCATGTCTCGCAAGCAAGCAAGGCAGAATATTGAGATTGGGACTCAATGAGGATAAATTTTAAACGTTAGTCAAATTTTAAATAAATTTTTATTTATCTACTTTCAAAATATACTTTGAGTTTTTAAATTAGATTTTAAAGTTGTTATACCCAATGAAATCCCTAAAATTAAGCACATATAGTTATAGGAGTATATTTGTCTAAAATAATATTTGGGATTCTAAAAAACATCATTTAGCTATTTACACAATATTTAATATGTTTGGTCATTTTTTTTGAAGCGCCTTACTTTTTTACCATTTATGCGGTTGCCCCTTCTTTTTTTGCAAATGGCCCCTCATGTTTCGCAAGCAAGCAACGCAGAAGATTGAGATTGGGACCGAATGAGGCCAGGCCCAATTACCAGCCCAATTTGAAACGGTCGATAACCGAAAGCCCAATAAGTGAAATGCTCCATAAACTTCCCATAAAATAAAAATAAAACATTAATCTAGAAAAATAAAGAAATGACAACGGGGATAAAAGAAGAATGTGAGGTCCAGCGAACAAAGGAAAAAAAAAAATAAAAAATAAAAAGAAAAATAAAAGGATCACGCGGCCGAGCACGTGAGAGGGACACGTCATCAAGAGTGGGAGAAAACCCTGTGAGAGATCTCAAAATGACCCATACACGACAGGTCACTATGGAAAAGCCAGCACATGCTCCCACCATCCCTTTTTTTTCCTTTTCTTTATTTATTTATTTATTTTTGTTTCTCTTAATTAGGTAAATTAAAAAATTACTTTCTCCACCATCTCCTCTCCTCGGCTTTTTTGGTGGGGACGGGTTTGCCAATTTGTGGGTCCCACCTGCCAGATTTCTCCCCACGTGACGTCGTCACGAGAAAGAGAGAGATTCAGAATTCAGATATCCCACCGCACCGCATGCCCGGCACGTGCCTCCCCTACATTATTTCCCTTTTTCTCTTTTCCCATAAATCCTCATTTTATCTTAATTCAACTACACTACACTCTAAAATACTACTTTCCATTCCCATGCTAACTTTCTTTTCTTTTCTTTTCTTTCTATTTTTCTCTCGACAGGTAATTTTACCTCGCATCAAAAATAATAATATAAATATGCAGACTTTTTTCTTTTTACTATCTTTGATTCATTGGACCAATTTTAGAAACTTTTTTTCGACCAAATAGTTTTTTTTTTGTCCCACAAGTGAGATAATTCGAACTTTTTATCCGTTGGGCGAGTTTTTTTTTTCATAGCACTTTATTTTATATGATTTATTGAAATTTATTGATAAAGAAGAAGTATTATTTTTACCATACATTTCGATGAGATAAAACAAACTAAATAAATGGGTACAAGTAAAAAATTAAAAAAACGAAAACTAGGGGTGAGAAAGAGAATTTCTCAAGAAGAATAAAAAAAAGATAGAGTGGAAGGATGGATTACCGATCGAGGACTGCCAATTAGAAAACGAAAAGTGGATTAAAAAAAAGAAGACGTAAAATTTAGAAAATAAAATAAATTACTAAGTATGATTAGTGTTGGGGCATTTTGAATAATTTGATAAACTTGTTTACACTCCATGTAACGGAAGGCGTTAACGGCGTGAAAATAAAGAGCCGGAGAGAGAACGGGGTCCCCACCGCACGCGAGGAGTGGAGTGGAAGGAGATGGACGGCAGAGGAAGGGCGCACGTGAGGGATCACGTGCAGTGACCATGCAATTAAAACGACATCTCCCAAGCCTTACTCCCTGTCGTAAAGAAACTTAGGAAGAGAAGGGGAGAGGGGCCCTCACGTTATGCCACTCACAATGTGCATCCTCACATGCCTCCATCCCCCATTGTAAATTTTCGGATAAAATATATTTTTGATCGTTTAGATTTGAGTTTAGCGTTTATTTGGTATATGAAATTACAAAATGAACATTTTTAGCTATCTTAAGACTCGGAAAATTGTTCAAAATAATTTCTTGAGTCACTTAATGGTTAGTTGAATAACTTAAAGAATGACACCGCTATAATGAGAGATAAAGAAAATGATAACAAGGGAGGAAAAGAAGCCAACTCGTTATGACTTAGTCACAAAAAATAATATAATTTTATAATTTACGGAGTTCATGGAATCAATCCACTGAGTAATTTCTCAAAGTAATTATTATTATTTTCTCTTCATTTGTTTCTATATTACACATTTACATATCATCCAACATGTCAAAAGAGAGAGATTTGCTAAGAAAAAATAAACAAAGTATATTTTGGAGGTTGTGGCTGTGGGATAAGCGTTGTAGCTGCACTTTGAGACCTAGGTTCACACTACCTCAATGTTATTTTAGTAAATAAGCAAATAAATTATAAACTCCTTTTCTCATTTTGATCTAGTGGTAAAAAATATTATTTTTTTAATTATAATCCTTAAAATTGACATATTTTAGATATTTAATATCTTAATTTCTAAAATTTCATTTCGATGTTAGTTCGCTTTGGATTTACCAAAATATTGACGTGATATGCGTGCTTAATTAAGTAATGGATAATTAGAGGACGGTGTTAGAATTTTTTCTAAGATGGTAAATTTTGCATTGTTATAACTTTGTGGGGGTATATATAGAAGAATAATTAATTTACAAAATTTTGAAATGATAAATTAGAGAGAATAATTTTGTATTAATTATATATAATTTTTTCAATCCAAATCAAATTAAGATATTGTCTACTTTTTTTTAATATAAGTGGGTGGAAATTCGAACTCGTGTTATCCTAGTCAGATATAAATACTTTAACCTGTTAAATTAAGTTCAAGTTGTTAGATATTGTCTACCTTTGAATATAAACTTTTAATTTATTTTTAGATTAATGAAGGTGAGACTTTAGTTATGCTCCTAACCAATATGATCCAAAATTCACAAAATAAAACTTTTAAAAATTAATGGAATATACTTTTAAAATTTACGTACCAAACAGCCGCTAGGTCTATACAATGAACAATCCGAAATTTCCTTATTTATTTTTCTGTTTTTTTAAGTAAAAGAAAAAAAAAAAGGCATCGCTTAAAAGAACATAAAGTGGGTACTGCCAACGTAGTGTGTTGAGTTGGCCACGTGATCGAAGGGAGGGGGAGGATGTGGTGGGCAGACATTTTTTTAAGATCACGTGATCCGTTCCGGATTAAACGGAGGAATCGCCACGCGTCCATTGACATAAAAAATCGTGGGTATTAATAATTAAAATCCCCCCATTAGGCTGTAATTAAATTAAATTAACCCAAAGTTTTGATTGGATATTATGCGACACTCACGCGCTTATGATTTGTTAACGGATCCCTAAACGGATTCCCTTCGCCAGAGAATGTTTATGTTACGGGGGAAAACACTCTGTTATGTTACCATAAATATTATTAAACCACACTTTATTTTCCCTTTTTTTATTTATTTAATTAACAATCAATTATAGTAAGTATTACTATTTTTTAATTGCACTATTTAATTAAGCGCCACCTCATCCACTTCGTCAAGTCCCGCCATTTCCGCGGCCGCTCTTGCTGGTTCCCGATAAAACTTTTCTTCCCTCTTATCGTACATTTTCAAGGTAGCGCAATATTTCCAAGTCCTAAATCGTAAATCCTAATAATTAATGTTTTGCCTTAACAATAATTTTAATTTTCGTTTGATACGTAACTTTTAATATCTTATCCTTTTTACCCTCACTTCCTTATCTCTCTCTTATTTCATCTATTTTCTTTGTAATTTTGTCAATTGTTTTCTAATTTTAATTAT